TGTGGGGACTCACCCCGTCCCCGCCGCACCCAGCAGATCTGTCTCATCTTGTCCTGGAAAAACACTCCCTTGGCTGCTTGCCCCTTCCCAACCCCCCAGTGCCCCTCTCCAGGGGCTGTGCCATGTCCCCCAGGGACGGAGCGGGTGGCAGGGCAGGGAGCTGGCACCTTGTGTGTCCCCCCCAACCAGACCCCTCTGCCCTTCGTGCCGGCGCTGCCGGCGGGGGCTGACAAAGCTGCCCCTGTGCTCCCTGACTTCTGGCTCCATTTACTCAACCCTTTCCCCAGAGCTGTGCTGGCTGTCCCTGTGCTGTGACTCAGTGGTGGCCACGACAAAGGTCTTTTCTCCTCAGCTGGGCTCGGGGTCAGGGCTGGGGGTGAGGGCTGGCGTGGTGGGGGCTGCTCCCAGGAGAGATGGTCTCCCCTTTCCCCCCGGGTATAGAACCACCCTGGGCTGCAGGGCCAGCTTTCCCTTGGCTCTTAAGGGTGGTTCATTGCCATCAGCTGCCAGGTTGAGGGCAGGGTGGTGGCGAGGATGGCATCTGAGACTGGGGAACCTCTTGGCTCCACTCGGTGTCCTCAGACACCAAAAGGAAGCCCCTGAAAAGGGCTGGGCAGGCACTGGGGATGGAAAAGGGAGATGAGGGCTCAAGCCAAGTGCTCCCCGGGGTCCTGTCCTCCGAGCAAAGGGAAACTGAGGCAGGAAGAATGGCAGGAGCCCCACAGGGTGGTGTTACCTCTGCACTCGGCGTCCGAGGTGGCCGTGCACTCCTTCACCAGCACCTCGTTGTCCTCGCAGGTGGTGCAGGGCAGGCAGGGGTCCACGAAGTTGGCGTCGCTGGAGAAGGTGCCCTCGGGACACTCCTCACAGACCGTGTCCTGGGTGCCCTGGCAGGGGAACATGAGGCCGAAGCCCACCTGGCACACCCGGCACTCCTGGCAGCTCCCACTGGCCTCGTCCTGGTAGTACCCGTAGGCGCAGCGGCACACGGCGTCGTCCGACTCCACGCAGGGGGCAGACATGCTCTGCAGCCCCACGCACTGCGTGCAGGGCTTGCAGGGCTCCGTGGCACTCACTGTGTCCGAGTAGGTGACACCTGGCAGGGGACAGAGCAGGGGGTGAGCGGGTCCCACCGCGGTGTCCCCAGCCCTGGGGGACGCTTGGGTCCCCGACCCTACACGGAGCCAGGCTGGGGAGATGGGCTTGGGAAGTGGCTGCTGGCTGGGAACAGCTCCCCCTTCACACTGCTCCTCTTACCATTATTTATTTCACTCTAAAATTAACTTTTGACATGGTATGATTAACTACTCTTTATACTATTGCTGACAATGCTAATTATTAATATTAATTAACTTCATCAATATTTGCTACTAGAGTAACGACAACATATTTCTGTGTCTTCTAAGTTTCTTAACCACCTCAAGCCTCTTAACTCCATAACCCCAGGAGTTATGGCCCAGGAGATTTATTAATAGGTATTTTACAATATTCTGAGATCACAGGTTAATAAGACATCAGGAAGAAATTCTTCACCATGAGGGTAGGAAGGCACTGGAAGAGCTTGTCCAGGGAAGCTGTGGCTGCCCCATCCTTGGAGGTGTTGAAGGGCAGGTTGGATGGGGCTTGGAGCAGCCTGGGCTGGTGGGAGATGTTCCTACTCACAGCAGGGAGGTTGGAACCTGCTGATCTTTAAGGTCCCTTCCAACCTTAAGCATTCCATGATTCCATGATTTTGCCCCCTCCTCATGGCCAGCAGGGGAGGTGTGTCCCTCTGCAGCCCCCAGTGCCACTGAGCATCCCCCCAGGCTCCACTTCCCATGAGCAGCTCCCAACTTTTCTTTTTACAGAATCATTCTGGTTGGGAAAGACCTTTAGAATCGTTGAGTCCAACCCTACCAGCCATTAACCCAACCCTACCAGCCATTAACCCAACCCTACCAGCCATTAACCCAACCCTACCTGCCATTAACCCAACCCTACCAGCCATTAACCCAACCCTACCTGCCATTAACCCAACCCTACCTGCCATTAACCCAACCCTACCAGCCATTAACCCAACCCTACCAAGTCCAGTGCTCAAACCACGCTCCCAAGCACCACATCTCTTAAACACCTCCAGGGATGGAGACTCGACCACCTCCCTGGGCAGCAATTCCCAGCCCCCTTTCTCCAGCAATTCCCAGCTCCTTGGAGATCCAACCTTTGATCCCTCTGGGTGCTGCCCTCAACAAGTCCATCCCAGCACTTGGTGCCCATATCCCTGGGCGAGCATCCCTGCCCCCATCCCCATTTCCAACCTCCACATTGTCCCCACGGGGCATCCCAAAGCCATCACTGCTCCCCCACCATCCCAACCATTTTCACCTCCACATCCTGCCCAGGGGGTCCCTGGAGTCATCACCACCCTGTGCCCCCCTCCTTGGCCACGTGTCCCTGACACGGGGTGTGATGTGAACAGGAGGTTACAACACTAATTGCTGACTCTCCTCTGACCCCGGGGCTCCTGGTTCTCTGGTTTCATCCTGCAGGACTGACTCTACTGGAGAAATCAATCCTCCTCCCACAGCCCAGCCAGCCACCCCCCGCTCCCTCTCCCTGTTCCCAAAGGTGTTTGAAGTTATTTTTAGCCCGGGAAGCCGGGTCAGTTCCCGTCCTGGAGGGCACAGCTGCTGTCCCTGCATCGGATGCTTCCCATCGATCCCCCCCGAGCCTGAGCTGCTGCAACGACCCCGTCTTCCCTCGGCTGAAATGCCAGGGAAAAGCTGAGTCTCCTTGATGGAGAAGGTGTCATGGAGATGAAGACCAATCCCTCCAGCAGCTCTGCTCCTCAGGAGGGCAACCCAGCCACCTGCCCATCTTTAGCCACCTGCCTGTTTCCCCGAGGGTGATGGTGGGAGGTCATAATTCCCACCCCCAGTGGCCTCCAGCCTCCCTGGGTGGCCAAGGAGACACCAAGCCATGGACCAGCTGGTTTTTTGGCTTCGTTTTGGACTGTTTTCCAGATAGAGGGGAAGAAAATGCCCCAAGACCCTGGCAATGGGCAGGGTTAGAGGGATGGAGGTGCCATCCCAGCTGCTTTCCCACCTCAGCTGAGCAGCAACAGCTGCACCATTGCCCCCCCAACATCTCCCTGTGTCTGAGGGTCCTGCTCTTCCCTCGGGGCCACCCCTGTGCCCTCCTGGGAACTGCAGGAGCCCAGGGATGAACCCCCTCTGAGCTGCCACCTGGGCTCTTGGCAGGGATGGGCAAACAGCCCCTGCCCCACTGCTTGCCCCATTGCTGAGCAGCCCCAGGTCCGGCCTCGGCGTGAGCAGTTCCCATCAACCTGGGATTAACATTCATCCTTTGCATTATTCTGAATTATTGATAGGAGCCATTAAGAGTGGGGAAGTGGCCAGGAAAGGCATTCGGCTGAGTGGGCACATTTGCAGTGGCAGAAAAGTATCTGAGCTGAGCAATTACAGCTGAGATTCCCCCCCCTCCCTTCCTCCCTCCTGCCTGCAGCAATGGGAGCTGGCAAGAGGAGGGGGGGGGAGATAAATAAATAATGAGGCAGCA